GCGTATCAATAATTTTAACCTTAGGTCAAGGGTACATCCACCCCAAACCTGATAATAAAGCACCCAGATTTAGTTCTTAGAGGGTTTGTAAGTTTTAGACCCTTAACCAATCCTGTTTGTTATTTATCAAGCTTATTGGGTTTAACTGATGAGGCCTGATTTCAACTAAAGGCCTTTAGCCTGGTAATCTGACGATAAGTCAATAAATCTGTCTACCCGTAAAAGTATTCCCTTGTTTAGGCCAAAAGGACAATTAAGGGAATTAGTGTATATATATTACCTCATACATGGCTTGAATTGATCGATGAATCACGGTTTTGATGTAAACAATTAAGGGGGTGTTCTTCGATGCAAATTATTTTTCTGTTTGTGGGTTTGAATAAAAAAAAAAAAAAAACAAATTCAGCTGGTTTGAAAATAAATTGATTTTTAAAATAAATACATAGAAAAGTATGTTCTATGATACTGGAAAAGCTTTGACCAGTCAAAACCCACCCATGAATTTTGATAAATACCACTTTATGATACCAGTTAATTGATCATAAGTTTTTCAGATATTGTATCTTTCCGGTATCATAGTCGAACCCTGGTTATATACTTGTTTTCAAAATTGAAACAAAAACATGTTCTTGAATTTCTGGCTTAAAGAATATGTTTTTATGACTACATGGCTACTACAAAATTGGGCGTATTTTGCCATTACATTTAACCAATATGTCTTTCATTGTAGTTGCACCATGGATCGATGTCAAATCCACGGACAGGATGCGGTTTATAGAGGGGCTACTAATAGACTAGGAGGGGACTATAAATTTAGATTTCTAAGGGGCAGTACAGTCTATTTATCCCTTTTATAACCTACTCTCTCTCTCTCTCTCTACCTTAATTTTCAGAAAAAAAAATAACTTACCTTAATTTCCAGAAAACTCTCTCTATCTTAATTTTCAGAAAAAAAATAACTTATCTTAATTTCCAGAAATATAGACTTATTTTTGTATAACCTATTCTCTCTCTATCTTAATTTCAGAAATAACTTACCCAAAAAATAATTAAAAACCTATTTCTGAAACCATTTCGATATAGGGTTCTCACCACTACTATTAGATATAAATTTTAATTTATTTTTAAATTTATTTTAAGTAACTTTTTTTAAGATACTTTCACTAAAAAAATACCTTCTCAACTTTTTTTTTTCTATACAATAATTTAATTTCTTCAAGCCCCTGCAACGCAGGGGCCCCTCCGCTAGTATGTTTTTATTTGCCTATTCGGTATAATATTCTTTGACTTGTATAATTTTGATGCTACAAAATTTATTTTTATGGTTTTAAAATTATGTACTACTTTTTGAAACAAAACTATATAGTTTTTTTATCTTGAAAAGCAAAAAAACAAAAACATTTCAATAACATATTTTTTGTTTTTTTGCTGATGTGGCAGTTTCAAAAACAAATGAAAACAAAAAACATTTATGTTGTAGAACATGAATCATTCATAGGCAACTTGCATTGGGCCCAGGAAAGCTTGCATCTCCCTGCTCTTTATTCATTTTGGAATGTATTTCGGCCAAGGTTCAAAAAATCGATACGACCACTATTTTCTAATGAAAAATATGAGTATTAAATTCCCCAAAAACCAAATTTTGAAAAAAAAAAATATATTTCCGTGTGGTTCAAAGTACCAATATGCCTCTGCCAATACACAGGCGAATAAATACATTGAACCACTGTTTTCAAAACTGGACCGGACCAGACAATCGGACCGGAAAAACCGGAAACTGGTCACCTGACCAGTTCCGTTTTCCTCCAAAACCGCTTTTTCCTCCAAAACCGTTGATTTTGGTCAGAAAACCGCTGAACCGGCCGGTTAACTGTTCGAACGGTATTGACCATTTTCCAATTTTTTTATTTTTTAAATTTTTTTGTCAGAACGGGCCGACCGTTCAGACCGTTCAAACCGATAACCGGACCCCTGACCGGTTACCGGTTCGTTTTTAAAAAACATGCATTGAATCATGATTTCAGCCTAAAAATGCCTTGTCATGTGTCGGAAGCTATTCCTTTTCCTTCTTTATGGGCTTTTTATTAAAAGGAATACAAATTTGATAGCCATTATAACTCAGGCAGAACTCCAACACAAGGAAAGTATAAAGGCCTACATGCATCGTTGATACAAAAACATAGCCCATCCAAAAGAAGGCCTACATGAGTTGTTGATGCAAAGACATGGCCCATCCAAAAGAAGGCCCACAGAAGTTGTTGATGCAAAGTCATGGCCCATCCAAAAGATGCCTTATCTAAAAAGGTTGGTAATCAAAATCCCTTCATGCAACAGAAATAGGTGATCTCATTCTCATCTAGTGAGTCTCCCTAATCAAAAAGCGTCCCCCCCCCTCCCCCTTATATAAAAATAAGCAAAAACAGGTTCCCCAAATGGGTCAACTCGGGACCCTTTGGCCATCTGGAGGGATGATGTGGCCAATTCATCTCACCAACCAAGTACAATCTATTGGTCCACATTAGTCTTTGGCCTTCCTTTTATTAGTTTGCTTTACAAGGAATATGGGTTATTTGAAAGTCATTAAGCATGCCCAAAAAGAAGGGTTCATTTTGATCATAGAGCCAGGGCTTCTTAACCATGGCCATTTTGGGCTCCAAATCAATTAGGCACGTGGAAGTTTCCATGATAGTTATGCAGCCCATTGGTCTATCTAAATTATGTAATTATGATATCAAATGAAGATATGTTGCCCACCAGTAGGCTTGCAAGGGTGGGTTGGGCTAACAATGGCTAGTTTGGACCTTTGCCAGGTCCCAATCTTCCTAATATCCTAAGCGTGGCCCACTTTGCAAATTGCCACTACCACCCTTTAGTTAACAGGATGATGCTGGGCCAATGGTCACAAGTGGCCCATAATGAGTTGAACTTTACATGATTCAAACATCTCTGGTCGGAAATCGGAAGCTGACTGGTAGGGATCTAGGAATTCAACGTGGGAGAGAATCAGGTGATAAAAATTGCGAGAATGTTATGATGTATCAGAACCAACCATTGGTCCTGCATGGATGTCATTGAATAATTGGTTGATTAATGGTTCAGATGAATCTTCTTCAACAGAGGAGCCACCTTTTATATTGAAGAAACACTTTCACCATGCTTTCATGATTCCTATACATTTTTACAATTCTAAATCAACAGTAGCTACAGTAAGTGTGAATTAAAACTGATATGATTCGTATAATCATACTAACTGAAGAGTTCAACTACATTACATTTAAAAGACATTATATGGTCATTGTATTTTTTAGAATTAAAAATTCTTATTTTTCAGTCCATAGTACAATTTATGCCAATGTTTTCGAATCGTGGTTGACCCAGATGATCAGACCGTTCGACCTAAAAACCATTCAGGCAACCAGTTCCACTTCACCCTTAATTTGGCCCTTGGCCAAAAACCATTGACTTGGTCAGCGACCCATTAACCTAGGCAATTGAATCATCGACCCATTTGACCCAGGCAACAGTTTTTGGCCATTTTTTTTTAAATTGGAACGAACAATCCATTCAAACCGTTGACCCAGAAACTGGTGGCCAGAGGGGTTCTGGATCTGGATTGGTTTTTAAAACCATGATTTGTACAATTGGAACAATGACAATTGGGGGGAATGAATCAAATTTCAAGGGGGGCAGTCCGCAGTATAAGTGGAGGTGTTGGTAAATAAAACCCAAGAAGCTAGTAAGTCCATGAGGTGTACTGCACTCTAGATTTCCCTAGAATTTCATTTGCTAAGACACAACTAAGAGACTCATCCCGATCATCAAAGACCCATGTATTGGATCTCCGACCAGATGCAAAACAGCAACCGCCAGCCGAATTTCCGCCATCAATAACAGCCGTGTTGTATCTGTGGTGTGCTTTCATTCTTTCCTTCCGACAGGCCCGAAAGATAAGAGCTGGGTGGAGTCTCCTGGGCTGTAATGCAAGTTTTTTTCTTCAACCCAATCAGTCCAGGTGGTGGTGGCTCTACCTGACGCTAGTACACTTGCGAGGGACTGAACGGACCAAACCAGCCTCAGGCCCCATTTTACAGACCCCAGAAGGGCTGCAGAGAACTCAGCTATGGTAATGGTACCGACTTCATTATATTCCTCCCTGATCTCTAAATCCATCAGAATCCTCCGTGTAATCAACACAATGATTAAAATCAACAAGAATGGAAAGCACGCTAAGCTTAAGCACAAAGCACCTACGGAGTTGTTTTCAAAAGAGGGCATGTCTGTACAGTACATACTCTTTGAAATGCTGCATTACTAGCAATGCATCAATGTTACGTTCCTCTCTTGGTAGGGAGAGAGAAGAACGTAAGTTGGGTTGATTCGAGGAAACCCAAAGCCTCCAAACTCTAACAAAAGTACAGATTTGAGATAATATCCAATATTTCTAATTAACTCTCAAAATACAACTTAAATACATGAACCAATGCTCCAACATATCAACTACTAGAGAGATTCTCTCCTTGTTTTAAGGCTCTACTTAATAACAGACCCCCCACTGACTGCTTTAACAAGACCGCGTAATCTCCTAAATGTAAGCTCATGGAACCCACTAAATCTCCAACAACCGACTAACACTAACAGACTACTAATATTCTAATAATATAAAAATAACAACTTACAACATGATAACAAATTACTTAACCCAACAAATCACCCTGGTGGGACCCAACACAGCCCACTAATCCACTAAACCTGACACGTAACAATCAATGATGCAGTAATTAATTTTCGTGAGAGGCCACAATTACCATGAGCACATTGTATTGATGAGCACTACATTTTTCGTTGTGCTACTTGTAGTCTTTGCTCTGCTATTCTGCTCATTGCCCAAGCCTAGCTGAGACTTGTAATGAAGAGCAAAATACAAATATAGGTTGATTCAAACCGGGGGCAGTATATGATGGTTTATCTGGTTGTTAAGTATTAGAATTCAGCCCATTGAGTTGCAAAGTTAAATAGCCAATGCATTCATTTCAGGAATAGCAGCTAAAATGTAGAGATTGTGTGGGGCCCTTTACATAAAATTCCAATTCAACTGACTTCACCAAAGTACCTGAAATATACTTTGAAAGCTTGAAAAATAAATACCAAAGAAACATTCACAACAAAATTAATTGTTCCACTGTACAAAGCACTTATGCTGTGGAAGACAGAAATGCAACAATGCTCTACATTGTAACCTGAGATCGTCAGGCTTCACACTCACTTTTAATATCAACATTTCTTCATGCTGAACACTATTTAACCTGGATTAAGGCTATGTGACAGAATCATTTTACCATTTTCGAATGTTTGATAAGCCAATCAATGACAGTGTCTATATTTATCGAATCCTTGCATGAGATCATGTAGCAGCAGACCTCCCTGTCTTTGATGGACTCCAGACCCCTGGTTCCATCCATCACCACCATGAAGAATAGTACAATATGTAAGTAAATCAAAAAGAAAAATAATTAAAACAATACTCATCATCAGTAAAGACATTAGATGGTATTTATATATTTCTTGATTTTTCATTTTCTTAGTTGTGTTTTACTGAACTCACATCTGATCCACCAAAGCTTGTTTGGAAAGAGCTTCAGACTTGTCAATCTTATTGCCAACGACCAACAAAGGAATTCCACTTAATGATGGTTTCATCAGAAGGTCATGCAACTCACTTCTGGATATTGGAACTGAATCTCTATCAGCAGCATCAACAACGTATCTGCCATTGCCAGCAAAACACAAATTACAAGACTGTATTATGGATACACATACCTTGAAAAGAAAAATAAAAGAAAGACTGATGGCAGATAAGCATTTTATAAATTCAGAAAATTAACAGAATTCTATGATGAGAAGAAAAAATGGATTGGCATGCTCTCTGATTCATGATGTTTTCATAAGAAACTGTGGTCAATTTCTGAAATAGAAGCATCTTCGTACAGACACAACATCAACATAGTTTCATAATATTAAACTTAAAATTTGTTGGCCCAATTATCAAATAGAAGATTTAGCTTGTATGCATTGTCTTTGGTTTCATACCAATATGCAATAATTTAAATGTTAATGATCTCATTAAGGGAGAAAAGGTCTGGTCTGAATGACCTATTGTAATTCAGATATTTAGTTTTATTCAAGAAGTAAGCCCAAGATGCGGCTTCTGCAGCTTCACCACAAAATGGATTCTAGTCATAAACCCATAGAAAAGACATAGTGGATCGGACTAATCCAGTCCAAAATATTTATTAGATTGCATTGGAACTGGTCCATCCGTAATAAATTTACATTGGATTTGGTTGGATTAAGCCAATATCCGGTCCATTGATATAAGAAAAGAATATAGGTGCCAATGGACCGGGTTTGGGTTGAAACCAATCTAAATTAAAGTGAATTTGAACAAATTAGACGGTCCGAACATTGAATTGAACCGGTCCAAAATGGTCCAAATTATTCATTGGATTGGATTGGACCTGGTCCATTTGTAATGGACTCACATTGGACTGGATCGGATTGGACCAAATCCAGTCCAATCGACACCCCTAGGTAAGAAGAAGCAAGGAAGAGAGAGAAGAGATCTGAATTCTTTGATGATTCCTTTATTCAGTTGAATCAGTTCCCCACCCTTATATATGCTTACAAACTGGAATCAATTCTGTTACATCTCTGGAGCTTCTCTAACTAATATCTACTGACATGGCCTCCTGCGAATTACTTGCTGAGTTGCATCTGTCCCAGATGAGTTCATCCTCTTGATGTCACTGTGCTTGGGCCTTCATTGGCTGAATCGAGTTGGGCCTAACAGCTCCCTTCCTGATAAGATGGACCTTGGCCTCAAGTTCCCACATAGCATTCTCCCAGGACAGGTTGGACCAAACCACTATGCTTCAGGTGTCACTCAACTGTCCCTTCAAAGCCATCGAAAATCCAAGATGTGGTGGGGTTCTGTTGCTAGGTGGCCTTCATCCAGTTAACTGTGGAAAGGGAAAACCATGCACCATACCTGCTTTAAGGCTTTTCTTTAACACTGAAACATGAAATACCAGGACAGGTATACCTCCAATGCTGGAGAGAGGACAAGTATATAAGCAGCTGCACCGATTCTTTCAATGATCTAGAAGGGTCCAAAGCATCAAAGTGCCAGTTTGTTCCAGGTACAACGAGCCATGGATACCTGCTACAAGGGTGCAACTTAAGGAGTCACTGGCCTGATATTCCATTACATGATGCTTTTTTGATAAATATCCATTGCATGATTCTTCTTATCATAGAAGTCCTTTTCATTAGTTGCTGGGCTTTTAATAGATTGGCCTTGAGCTACGTAAGAGGGAGTCTTGCAGTAACATGTGTTTTTCATAGGGGATGATGGAGAGTGGATTGCGCCCACATAATGCCTTGAAAGGTGCCATGCCAGTTTCTACGTGGTAGGTTGTATACCACCACTCAGCCTGGGGAGCCACTTCATACATGATTTATGCTGGTCATCCACAAAGCACTGTAAGTATATCTCTTGGCATCAGTTAACCACCTCAATTTGGTTGTTGATTTGGGGGTGGTAGCATGTGGACTTCTTCCATTGTGTACCTTGAAGCCTGAAGAACTCCCAAAACTTGCTCATGAATAGAGAATCCATATCAGAGACAATAGACCTGGGTGTATCATAAAGCTGAGCAACTTCTTTAACAAACACCTCAGCCACTAGTGTGGCACTGTAAGGATGAGGTGGCCCAATAAATGTCCATACTTCATGAGTCAATCTATAACAACCATAATGATTGATTATCCCTGAGAATTTGGGAGCTTGGAATGAAGTCCATAGAGATGTTCTCCCAGATTTGGTTGGGAATGGGCAATGGTTGGAGTAATCCTGTGGGAAGGCATGCTTCATACTTGTCTTTGGAAAATGGAGCACTTTTCCATGAACTTATGGACTTGGGTTCTCAAACCTTTCCAGAACAACTGTGAAGCCAATCGTTGATATGTGTGGAATACTCAAAAATGACCACCCTTCTATGAGCTATGGAACACCTCAAATAACTATGGTATGTAGACCGAGTCTTCAAGAATCACCATTCAGACTTTGTACAACAACTTGGCCTCCTGTACTGAATATCCCAATGTCCAATCTGGGTTTTAAAGGTCTTCAGACCTCTCAGTTCTGGGTTCTCAGTTGAGATCTAGAAGTCCGCTAGATTTGTAATGTACTGGAGCCTAGTTCTGGTGATTTCGGCTCCTTTTGTGGGGCTGCTGTTGTAACCTCTTGATCAATTTAATCAAATTACTTTACCCTTCCTCAAAAGAAAAAATTAAAAAAAAAAAAAAAAATCTGTGTTCTAGGCCCATTTGTCTCTGATGACCCATATTAATGGGCTATGAGCTGCTTCCCTCTGTAAATCTGAAATCAATAGACAAATGCGTTGAGACACAATCATGGGCCCCAATTCAACTTTCCATGACAATGCGTCTACTTCTTTGTTACTTGCCCTGGCCTAATACTCTATCTAATAGTTATATCCAACTTTGTCACCCACTTCTGCTACTCAGTGGACAACACTCATTGCACCCTGAGAGGAGCAGCTATTTTACCATAGTCTTGGATGAAGTATCCACCCTATGAACCCAAGTAACCCATGAAGCTCCTTTACTATTTCGGGTTTGAGCCATGGACCAACTAGTCATACAAGCTACCTTATCTGGGTTGGCCATCAGTTTGCCATTTTCTACAATGTGGCCAAAATAATGGACCCGAGTCTATCCAAAGGCACACTTGCTTTCTTGACAAATAGTTGATATTGATTGAGGACTTCAAGAGTAGTCTCCAAGTGGGCCAAGTGTTCCCACAATCTGAACTATATACTAAAATGGCATCAAAGAATATAAGGTTAAATCAATGGAGATATGGTCTAAAGATGTCATTCATGAGGGCCTAAAATGTGATGGGGCATTGGTTAGCCCGAACAACATGACCAACAACTCATAAATCATAATACCCGTCATGGGTCCAGAAGGCAATCTTGTGGACATCATCTCCAATCTCCATGGACCCAAATCTGATGATAACCGCCCTGTAAGTCCACTTTAGAAAATAGCATAGCTTTTTGAAGCTCATCTAGCAATTCATCTATTCTGAAATCGAAAATTAATCCTTGATGATGATGTCATTCAAAGCTTGGTAGTCCAGAAAAAATCTCTAAGCACCACTGTTACAGGCCCGCGAATAGGATCTTGTCACGGGTCGGTCCACGGGGAAAACCTCCTGTTTTCCCTTGTTCCTCCCTTTTCTTGAGGAACCTATCTTGGCGCCTTAATGGTGATTTGTTCAAGAGATCACCAACTCTCCTCTACTCTATCTTGACTGAGAATTTCGATGCCTCTATTGAATATCATTAGCTCCTTTAAATAGGAGATTACAAGAAGATAA